AGTAGTAGTAGTAGTAGTAGTAGTAGTAGTAGTAGTAGTAGTAGTACTAGTAGTACTAGTAGTACTAGTAGTACTAGTAGTACTAGTAGTAGTAGTAGTAGTAGTAGTAGTAGTAGTAGAAGTAGTAGTAGTACTAGTAGTACTAGTAGTACTAGTAGTACTAGTAGTAGTAGTAGTAGTAGTAGTAGTAGTAGTAGTAGTAGTCGCTCTAGGTACCTGGTGAGGGTGAACATAAGATAATGGATTACATTAGAGCAACGAAGTCCCAGCCAGACTACGATCCTAATACGCGGCACTGTGTGTAATAACCCCATCGTGGCTCTCGTGTTCTCTATTATAGTATATAAGGTACGGTCTGGATGCCGACCTGATCATGCTCAGTCTGGCGACACATGAGCCCTATGTAAGTACTTGGATTAGCGTGTGGTGTGGTATGTGGTGATGGCAGGTGGCATTATTGCGGGAGGAAGTGATCTTCGGTCCGGAGAAAACGGATGCTCGAGCGTTGGTCAGACCCGATCGGCTACAACTACTGCATATCTATGTAGGTTAGTGTTGGAATATACATCCGCTTTACTCAGCTCGGTTCGGGAGTTTCCTCACTTATTATGGGAGTTTATATACGGATTAGGTTGGAAGTATTTTACAGGAACTAACGAGAATTTCCTTGAAATTCTCTTCGTATTGTCATCGATACATGTAGTTGACCATGTGCATATTTCCCCGCACTGCGCGGAATAATGGCAGAATGAGCACGGCTGTGATACAGTGTGGAGTTATATGCTATCATTTACAATTTGGTCACAAGCAGAAGAGTTTGTTTCACGACTCGTTTGCTCGAGTGGTGAAATTGGTGCGGATGGAAAACCTCAGATTTTCTAGTCGATTCGTTACAGGTTTTGAGAGAGTATCTCGCACTGGAGTTCGGCGAGGAAGATCTCGAGCGAGTCATTGATGATTTCGTGCTCTTCTGTATGTTGGTTGGCAACGACTTCCTGCCACATCTACCCTATACTGGCGTCGGGGACGGCGGCCTTGAACGCCTATTCAGTGCATATAAAGAGTAAGTATTATGAAAATTTTTTGCCGACAGTTGGGCACATGCAATACAACTATATGAGAAATCATGTTGGAAATTTTAGCTCCAAAGTCGTTGTGTAGAAGAGTCACCACCGCACACGTTTTTCCCGATTTCATAGTACAAATAATACTAAACAAATATATTATATTTTTATCGCTATTATAACATAATTATAATATTAATGGAGTTTCACCCGTTTTACGTGAAGTGGCGCAAAGCTCGGTGAAAAACGCGATATTCACACTATGCAGTAGTCGTGAAATATGTTTTTCACTAGTGTTTTTCATATCACTAGGGTGAAACTTCAATTTAAAATATCCCTTGTAATATACCTTCATAGATAGATAGGATATGACTCGTAATGTATGCGTGTTGTATGGGTCAATCGTCTTTACAATTTTTGAATTTCCCGATACCGCCAGTTCGAGAATCTTGGAAATGTCTTGTTGTTTTCAAATAGTTGACATAATAATAATAACAAATAGTTATTGCGAATGATATAATAACGTAATAATATATCTTCTCTATCGGGAGTAGATATAAATACAGTGCGTGTCAATTTAATATGCAAATGTGTGTTATTTTGTAGGACAAATGATAGTGAACAAGTTGTCGCTATCATCACAGTCCCAAACGGGTACTCTCATCACATCACATGTTCATAGCCGTCGTTACATTGTATATGCGATATAGTTTCGAATCGATTCTCATTGATTTGCATATCAAATTGCCACTTACTGTACATGTCAACGTATGGCTGGTATGAGTACTATCCATATCCTAGGGTGCGTGTTAAGGGGGGGGGGGGGGCAATAAATGGGTGTTGTAATCACAGTGCTTGCCTTGGCCGGACTGTGATTCTGAGATTGATAATATTCACTATAATTGATCTCAGTACCAGCTTTGGCTGTACGCCCAACAAAAGTAATTGAATAATAAGACAACGAAAAATAATAGAACTAATTCGGTTGCTCCACTGCCACCAAAGGGTCGGATGATGTGAAGTGATCACTGTTGTGTTTTCGTTAGGTACCGCGAGAAGCAGATATCTAGTGCTGATCCGTGGCTGGTCGAGCATGGGGGTGGTATCAACTGGGCTAACTTCCTACAGTACCTCACTGTCTACAGCTCTAGCGAAGAGAAATTCTTAGCGGATGAGGTGTCCAAAGGTCATTGGCAAATCGGAAGTGAGCGAGAGAGAATATTATTTTCTCCATACCACACCTTTTTCAATTCAGAGCGCCGTCGTTGTGGAGGTAACGGACGTGGAGGCTCGCATATGAGCTATGAGTATCAACTTAAGACTGGTTTCGGATACCCCAGTAAGTCTTGTATCATTAATCGCGTCGGTCTCGACTTAGTCGTTTCTCAGAATCTCCAGAGGAAGCACGGCTTCAGTTTTATAAAGTGAAGGGTGAATGTGATGATAAGGCGGAGGTAGACGAACTGGTCAGAGACTATTTGGAAGGCTTGCAGTGGTCGTAAGTAGTGCCCTCTTGGCTGGTCGAAGAGGCTCACGTTGGTGTGGTATGACTTTGTCGTAGATATTCGTATTATTACCGCGGGCCTCCCTCGTGGCACTGGTATTATCGCCATCATTATGCCCCCTTTGTGTGCACTATGGTCAATGACTTTGACGATTTCGTCACGGCTGGAGGGCAGATCAAGTTTGACGGTGGTGGACCGGTGACGCCATTTCAACAGCTTATGACTGTAAGAATCAGTGGGGGGAAAATATGTAAATTCTGAGAAAATTTCGGGATATTGTCGTTGGTTTTTGTACACTTCTAACCGAGATCGTGTACGAAAGTTTATGATGTAGTGAGGAAATCTACGATCTCAGTTGAGGAGAGAAAACACATATTCTCACACTGGTAAGCGGTTCCTTCGCATAGATCATCAGTTTCACATTAGCATGTGAAATTGGGATTCAAAGTCGACTATGTTGTATTGGTTTTACACTGTATCTGCGTACACTAGTTTACAAATTTGCATTTCACAGTAGCTCACCCTGGATTTGAAAGTATCGTTGCCTTAGATATCATCGCTTAAAGTTAGCGTATTTTGATGAACAACGTGAACGGCTTTGTACGGTGTCATTTCAGGTGCTTCCTGCCTCGTCGGGTCAGAGGTTGCTACCCAAGATCTTTGCCAAGCTCTTCACATCATCTTCATCACCAGTGAAGCAATACTATCCTGAGCGATTCGATATAGATATTGATGGCGTCAAGGTCCCTTGGGGAGGTACTCAACTACTGGTTAGTCTCGAATACATTCCCAGTTGCTTTTTTTCGGATACTTTTTCTGTTTTTCCGTTGGTTTCAGTAGCTCGAATATGTTACGAATGAGTCTATGAGAAATTCTGTTGATCGGTGAAAGTCTTAGTGGATGCTAGGAGTGTTATGATATGGGCAGTATGGTTCGGAATAGAAGTGGTTCAGCAGCAGTGTAGGAGAATATGCACATGGTCAACCACATGTGTTAGTGATAATATGAATTTTATGAGGAAAGTTGGAGATATTCGAAATTAGAATATCTCCAATCTCCCTAGAATTCCAATTAGCATTTCTAATACAGTTTCTGTACACTTCTACTCGAAAACGTATGTAAACTTTTATTATTGAAAAAGCTCCTCAGCTCAGCTGAGGAAAGCGAACATGTACCCCAACACTGTTGACGTCGTCAGGTACGACATTGATCAATTTCGTTGACGAAGATGTGCTGTTTGACGCAATGAATGCTGCTATTGCTGAGTCGGAAAGGACGGGGCAGGACGCCTTAACGGAGGCTGAAAAGGAGAGGAATGTTAATGGTAATAGGAAGGGAGTGAGCTCTCTCGTGGGGAATACGATGTTGTGATAGTATTATTTGTCTTTCAGGGGGTGCTCATGTGTATCGATATGATCCTTCGGTGAAGCCAGTGACGGTCCAGTCTACTGTGCCGAGGTACTTGCAGGACTTGACAGGGGTTACGGTGGATGTGAAGCCCTTCCGTCATCCGTCTCTGCCAGAAGGGATGGAGTACTTCCCTCATTGGGTGTTGCCACAATGCGACTTGCATAAATACAAGTGAGTGCTGATCGATATGCCTCAATCGTAAACGTTTGTATTTTGTCAGGGACAGTTGGCCTTCCCTTCACACTAAGGCGGTGATGCCTCAATATGCAGTGGGAGTGAAGGTGTTTAATTTCGCCAGTCAACGACAGTCGATGTTCCTCGCTGTGGAGGAGTCCTACGACGAACTGATGGTCGCATGCAAAGAAATGATGGAGGCTTATACTGTTCA